AAATAGATAATTGTTCATTGGATGCAGAGAAGATTTTTATATTTCAAAAAATATCGTCAATGGCTGGACTATAAATCGATGAGAACAAACTCATTAGGATATGAATTCATGATATTAGCCTTGAACCAAAAAAAAACAAAAATTGGCAACCATTTTTTTTAAAGATTATTAATAATAAAATGAACGCTCCATAATTTACGGGCTCCGTTTTTCAATATTCTTCTGAACTTACTAACTGCTAAAGCATCTCTTGCAGTTATACTTCTATTAGCTGATACATTTATGACCCAGACTAACTTTTACAAACTTGTGTTGAGATACATGTGATTGAATTGGCTGACACTTGATGAAAATTTATAAAGAGAACTAAGATAAAGGAACCTGGGCATCTAAAAGTTCATAATGGAGATGGGATTGATATTAGATACTAACCTGGTTTGGAATTAATATATAGAAAGGATGAAAGGAAAGGCAAATATAGCACTGATGCTAGCCAGATGCTTCGATGGAAAAATATATAGGCTGAATGGGGACGAAAGATGATACAAATCATCGCTTCAAAAGAATAAGGTAAAGTGTACATACACTTTGTTGTTCGGGCACTGCGGAAGCATCCATAAACGTACCAACTACAGCATTGGAGACACTTTCGAATATCTATATCCTTCACACCTTGTAATAAGGAGAGAGAGCTCACCACATCTTGAGAGAATGTGAGGAACTAGATCATAAGAGGCAAGACATTTATGACAATCAAAATTTAGGTCCAGAAGAATATGACGAACATCCAACAAATGACCTGTACAAGCTAGTACAGTTAAAAATATTGTTGGAATGTGTATCATGGAAAAAATTAAAACGAAACGCAAGAAGCCCATGGAAGAAATGGACACAAGTCAGTTGATTCTAAAACAGGAAAACAAAAGGAATGACGCTACAGGTAGTTAATTAAGACGCATCGGTTGGTTATTTCTATAAAACTAATTTTTTGCTCTGATTGGGTAATATTTCATGTTAATAAATTGTGCCCAGTGGTTAGTAACAAGATTTCCAGTTGGTCAGCGATACTTTTTTACTTCAGTAGTTGTTTTCATTAAAGTAGTTCAACCAACGTTATTGTATAATAAATTGTTCCAGAGTGTAGAATTTTATCCCAGCTTTTACCAAAGATTGAAAATGTATGTTGATTGTGAATCAACAGTGGATCTTTTCAAAATTAAATTCGCTGAATCATACTACTTTATACTCAATTGTATGTATCAAGGACAAACGATAACGCGCGTGCTTTCGTCAAGATTGCTTCCATTCGCTAAAAATGTTGACTGACCCAGTAGTTTTATCAACAAAAAAACTAAATACATATAAATCACGAAACATTTAAAAGTACTTTGAAATGCAGGAGTATTCAGAGAGAGATATTTATTATTTCTTATTGCAAGCGACATTTTCAATTTCTAAATAGCTGGCCTTAATTTATTCATGACCAACGTCGCTTTAATTTTTTATTTGCAATGTGCGAATTAATGTTCATATAGTTGTGCGAACTCTCAAGGCAAATTCATTTGAAACTACAAGAAAAACGGAAACCTCAACAATTATGGATGGAACACATTTTGATCTATAAAAAAAAATTATTTTTATATACCTCGATTTTTAGTCAAGACACGGAAAGATCGAAATAGCAAAATCTTTTATGACATTCAAAGGGTTTGTAGCACTTCTCCAGGTAGATATTCATCTTCAGCGAGAGCTATTGTTGAGGATAAACTCTCTCATCTTGTGAAATTTTTATCATTTTATCTCAGTTTATGTCCGATCCAAAAATCCAAAAAATAGATTATTTTAGTTCCTTCTAAATGTTTATGGAAACTCATTGATTGTAGTCATTAATGAAAACAATGTTGAATTAAGAGTGAGAGGCCCGGTTTTGCCGGGTATGCCTACAGACACGTACGCTTTATCGAAATGTGTAATGACAGATATGTTTAATGGATTTCTGCTCATTTCATTATATTCAGAAAAGGGCATGAAAGGTTTGGACGGAGAGATTTTTTGAGAAAATAAAATACTCTTCCAAATATTATTGTGTGAAATGTCTTGTTTGAAGGAGTTTTATTGAACTTCTGTACAGGATAATGCTCACTAGAAATTCAAATATGACTTCGTCCGAACCTTACAATGCCTATGTAGCTTACAATAAAACACCCAGTTTTCAAAAAAAATAAATTATAAGATCATATTTTGCAAAATTAAATTTATACAAACGCCACTAGTTAGGCAAATTATTCACATCAGATCATCGCTAGTTGACTGAATTCAGGCGCGATAGAATAATCAGAGAAAGTTTGCGGTAGTAGCCACGCCCCTAGACAGTTATAGCCTGTCGCCTGTAAGCCTGTTGTCCCACGTAGCTATTAAACTGTCAGAAATATTGAATCCAACAACCGACATAAATAACTGGACTAGATAGTGTAAATTTACCAGGTTACTTTTGGCCAAGGTAATGGTTTTTGTAAAAATCAGAATGGCTGCTTTCTTGTATCGAAGAATTGACGTTTATTTGCTTGTATAATTAATCTCTCAAAAAAAAACGATTTGAACTTTGACAATTTTTACATGTGCCATTTAATTTACTGAGAATTTTGATGACGACTCTCATTATGTGGAATCTACAGAAAAGGTAGAACAAATTTGTCCCTGGTGAACAAATATAATTAAGTGAATAAAACAGCCCGATACTTAATTACAATCCATATCAAAATTTTATTGTGATTTTTACTATAGTGAACATCAAAATAAACCTTTTCAGTAAATATAATTTATTGTTCATCTCAGTTTAATTCTATCAATTTCCATTCGTGTTTTTCTATGAAAAGCTAATAAATTCAATATCTGCTGTTCTCATAACAAATAGTGACTTGCTCAAATCGGACATTTTTTAACATAACAACAAAAACACCCACTAGAAATGTTTGGTTTATATTGAAATTGTATAGAATACACTCCGTTAGGTAGTTGAAAAAAAATAAGTTCCTTACATTGTTATTCTGAACTGAATTGAAGGAAGTTATATTGACGAATACAGATAACGTTCTGATATACCATATTTTATGACTTCCATGAGTCAGTTATCATTAAACAGTGCAGGTGTTACACTATACTACATCTACAAATGTATTTCTTATTTACATACGCTCATAATATAATAGGAGAACACAAAAACTATCATTGTCCTTGTTATTTTATTCAGCTGTGAATGTGAATCGCTACTTTCGCACAGGCACCGCTCTTAGAGTGACTCAAGGATGTTCCTGTAGTGCTTGTGTTTTGCCCTTGAAAAAAAACTATAAGTACTTGGATATGAACCGGTGTGTATAACTGTTGCAAAGTAACAACGTGTTTCAGTTTGGCAGTTCATAATCCGAACTATCGATATTGTAATGGAATAAATCCTATACGGAGATATTAGTATTATATTTATTATTATTAATACATTCGTTATTGGATGAATATGATATCTGAATTATTCTTGTTTGATATAAGTTTTTCAAAACCATAAATGTGCAGGGATTCATTTAAGCGACATCCTTTTGACAATTGCCATACCTAGTATTTGTTGTAATTAGAATTCTTTAGATTTTGTTATTTGTTTATCATTATCAGCTCAACTAGTTCATAGTGATTTCCTGAGACGAAAAATCTATTCGTTGGAATTGTTTATGCAAAAAACATTTCTGAAGTCGGTTCAATTCTATTTTATCTTTTTTGTCAATCTAGCCAACTAGAAAGTTCTCACTATGTTCCTGATACTTTCCCTGTTTTTCTTATCGAAAATTCAAATAGAAATTAATAAAAACCAGGAAACACCTTGTTGACTGTGCATGCGAAATTTCGAAAGGAAAAAACATTCTACATTAGATACTTATTATGAAAAATTTTACGAAAATGAGCTCATTCATCTATTCGTACGAAGATTAGACAATGAATATTGAATGTTCAGAATTTAGAAGTAATTTTTGCGTATATAGGTACGACAGATATTTTCCAAAAATGTTAATGATTCAGAATAAAGACTAAACCATTACATTGATAAAATGTATGTGATTTTTTTAGTACTTTTTCATTCAAAACATTTCATTCAAATACCTAATGATGTAAAGTTTTCAAAGAGATTATAATTTATTTCTTGTGGAAGGTACGATACGAAAAATGATAACATAGTTTTAATATATTTTGGCAAATCAAAACATTTGGATTTCAAATAATTGATGGAGAAAATAGAATAAAGTAGGTAAGCATTAGGCCAGAGAAATGGTAACGAAAATAGAATACTCAATACTAAATTTCACCCCTTTTTCATTAGTCCCACAATTCATCTCTAATTACTCAAGGATGACATTTTATGAGTATATAATATGACTATCACTATCGTTTTTTGTGTTTCCTTGTGATTGGGCCCTTTTTTGACGCTAAACACGTAAATTTTAAACAATACAATATAAAGGACCACAAACCATCACCTTTCTGAAGGTCATCGAGAGTATTTACATAAAATGTTTGTTGGAAACCCATTTCACTTCAATACATGACCGTTGGGATATCTACCTGAACAATTTCGAAAGGCGGGAAAATAATTTCGAATATTAACTCGTTTTAGGAGTAACGTCAGTGATAAAAATGCTTACCAAGTTAAATGAACACTGAAGCGATTCTAATGTTACTGGTGTTGTGTTTTAATGTTCTTGGTGTTGTCCTGTTTCAACTAGTGGAACAAGAAGGCGGGAAAATAATTTTGAATTCGTTGTCGATCATTTGCCGACTGCGGCAAGTAACCAAAATAAAACTGTTTTGAGTTAAACAAGGGTATTCATTAAAGCTGAGAAGATAAGTGATGAGGGCAAGGAATTGTGTGGGCTTACAGACATGAATAATCCGTCTGTCTCCCATGTGTGCGTGCAGCTCTAGAGCTTTTGTGACTCGTTAAAATTCAAACTACTAACTTATATTTCAGCGACAACTCGACGAGCAAAGTTCCTATGATGCAGCTCCCAAACGTTTCAGATCATCACCTGCACTATACTAACACCTGAACTTTTACACACACGAATTTCGTTCACAGACTGGCCGATTCGTTCATTCCCCGAGAATCGAGATGATTCATTGTGTTCGCCACTATATCAACGTGCAGATGGTACCCACAACATCGTACGACCGACCCCGAGATGATCCGACTCACTTAACTAGACCGAACGTGGAGCGAGCGTTTCACTCAAACCATCAGCCAGATCTCTAAAAATAAATCTTCCGTATATACATACGAACGTACACATATCTAATTCATTGGCTTGTATATTAGAGATTTTCATCTAATGCTTTCGGTAATTTCGTACTTGCGAGCTATGAGCGACATAGGCGGCTTCTTCGGGGAGGCCAATCTGCCCTCCTCGGAGCTAACTTTGAGCACAAACGTGCCGATCTCGGAGTACCTCGTGGCCCTATTTCGGGGCCCTGAACATCTTTAGTTTATGAAGAAAAGTTATGTAAGAGTTATTTTCGAAAATAGAAAACATTTTGCAATTCTGCAAACGCTAATGTATTTTGAAGACCGTGCACTCTAATTTGATTCACGAATAAATTACCGTTATTTGATATAAAAGATAGCACTGCTGCATGAAGAAATTATAAGAATGCATCAGTTTTGATCCCCTGAGTTTTTCAGTAAAATCGGCGAGAATCAGAAACTCGAGACTGGAAAATGTTTGTTTCTACAAGCTGTTGATTGCCGGAAACCATCACATTTCAGACCCATTGATTCAGCACATTTACGTCACTTTGGATTGAAGATGGCGGAACCGTATGATATGGAAAGGGGTCAAGAGGAAAAAAAATCAAATGACGGAAAATGAGACGGTTGCCATGCCAATTCTAAAGAACCATGACTCAACAACAATAAAACTAAATCCCCAAATATTTGTTTGTTAATATTGTCAATATCAGAATTTGCCATTTTCTCAAAAAGTTCTAGTGGGCTCACTGGCTTTCTTTATTTTGTTGATTTCAACAACATTTTTCTAACAGTGAATAGATGGCGTCTTCGTGAGGGGTGTGTCATCGCCCTTATTTACTTAGGTTTGTCATTTGAAAATAGTTTCGTCCAGCAATGCATTTGTGGTTCAGCCTAGCAGTACTGATGGTGCTAGTTTACAACAAATATTACAAAATTCATATGATTTATAAACTTGTCACGTAATTAACCTATTTTATAAAAAACATCACTTTTGTCTTAGAATTTCTGATGTCACGATGATCAAGTTACATATTGTATCTTTTTCATCTGTACAAGTAAACCTTGATAGTTTTTATATCATATAAATTGACAAGTTTCATTTAATTTGAAGTCTGCTTTCTTTTTTTCAGAACATGTCAATGAGAGCTTGTTTTTGACCATCAATTCATTTTTTGTTTTTAGTTATCGCTGGATATGCTCCTTAGCCTGTTAATTTCATTAAATGCTTCGTTGTTGCATTGTTACGAAGTTCGCTCTAAAATTGCTGGACTTAGACCAAAAAAAACTGCCGCATAAGCATCTCTCAGGAATTATTGAATGACGTCAACGGCGATCCAGATGGGTTTATGGTCCAATCATCCCAATTGAAGAACACAGGAGAAGGAAGACCCAAAAAAGCACGCCAAATTCGATCAAATATCAAGGTTTTGCTCAATGTTTTCTTCGATTACCGTGGCGTAGTGTATCAGGAGCTCATATGGTCATTCGGTCAATAGAGTATTATCTTGAAGTCATGCGCAGTTTGCTTGAAGCAATACAAAAAAAACGTTCGGTATTGTGGAAAAATAATTCATGGTTTTCGCATCACGATATTGCACCTGCTCACTCGTTATTGTGTGTTCGTAATTTTTTGTAATCATTCCTCAGCCACTGTATTCACCAGATTTGGCCCCTGCGACTTTTTGATGTTCCCAAGATTGAAGAGTCCGTTTTACAAGTTAACAATCCGACTAATTGGCTGAATGAAATACGTGGACAAACATGCTAGTCCAAGATTTCATAAAAACTGTAAGTTCTGTTTTCCGTGACTTTAAGCCTGGTACAGACCAATGAAATACGCAGCACGCAATTCTTCAAGCACGCGCTGTTTTGCGCACGTTTTGAATGTTGCCGAGAAGTAGGTGGTATTAAAATAAATCCACAAAGGCGCTGAAGTGCCACAAGTGTCAATGATAGATAATCGACAGTTTGAACTGTCAAATATACATAATCGTCGCGTCGTTCAAACTGTCAATTAGCTATCGATTATCTATGATATATAGGTCAAACTGTCGATTAGCCGTTATTGATAGTTTGAATTGCCGATTATATTTAATCGACAGTTAAACTGTCAATTATACATAATCGACATTTTGAACTATCGATTATAGATAACAAACAGTTTGTACTATCGATTGCAGCTTATAGAGAGTTTAAACTGTGGGTTATGGCAGTTCGACAGTTAGAACTGTCGATTATATAATCATAAAATGCTATGTGGCCCTTCAGCACTTCGTCAAAATCTACCTGATTGACAGAAATTGTTGCAGATGTTTAAACGTCATTCGCGCTGCGCTGCTTTCGGCAAAAAGTTCGCGAAAGTTTTGCGCTGCTTGTTGCCTTGATCTGTACCCGGCCTTTGTTCTGTGGGCTCTTTTTCCAATTTTTTCCTTCTGTTTACACAACTTTTTAGGGCACTGCCGGGTTATTTTTCAAGTGTTCATCCATTATGTTGTTTAAGATGATTGTATGTCAAGTAGACTATGAGTTGTCACTTTTCTGATTTAACTGAGAGATTGTTTAAATAAACAAATATTGAAAAGTAATTCTACAATTTCAATTAATATTCCAACAAGAATATATACTACAGCATTATCAATACTTGTTGCTTCCTGGCCCTACAATTCCTTATTACTCAAAGAATAATGAAGATAAATGTATTTTTATCATAAGTGACAACTCATCAAAGTAGTATACTGTATATCAGAAGTCTTTTTTCAAGGACAAAACACAAACACTACAAAAATTTTTTTAAGGCGCTCTAAGAACGGTGCCTGTGTGAAAGTAGCGATTCACGTTGGACTTGAATCGCTGGAGATCAAATTCATTTCGAAAAACGTTCACAGGAAGTTTATTCCACATAAACGCAGTTCTCCACAGGAAGAGTCCTTGAATAGTGATGCTCGAGGTATGCTGAGTTGAACCTCAAAACGATGAGTAGCGTATTTCTGATGTGTACCGCTCGTGGTAGAATCAAATGGCCAAGTCACTTAATCACCTCCCGTGAAAGTCTCTATAGAAGAAAGACAAATCCTCAACCTTTCTTCGATGATCCAGAGTATCGTGGTTGCAAGTGATGTTCGCGTCTTCAATCAGGCGGATGGCTCTTTTCTGAATGGAATCCAGCAGCTTCAGGGTATACTTGGGGTGGAGCTCCATACATGATAACGATACTCCAAAGAAGGTCTGAACTGAGCTTTATAAAGCATCAAAAGTTGCTGGGGTGTATACAGTTTTCTGGTTCGTAACAGTGTTCCATGCTTTTAAGACGCAGCCTTTGCAATTCCAACGACATGATTGTGCCAAGACATATTGATGTCCATCCAGCAGCTTCAGGGTATACTTGGGGTGGAGCTCCATACATGATAACGATACTCCAAAGAAGGTCTGAACTGAGCTTTATAAAGCATCAAAAGTTGCTGGGGTGTATACAGTTTTCTGGTTCGTAACAGTGTTCCATGCTTTTAAGACGCAGCCTTTGCAATTCCAACGACATGATTGTGCCAAGACATATTGGTGTCCATTTCAACCTCCAGCAAACTTATCAAAGCAGAAAGCGGAATTGTCTGTCCTGACACTATTATATCTTTTTGGAAAAAACCGATGCCTGTGTTTTTGTGGCATTGAATTGAACCACATTCACCCCAATTCGAAACCACCTCTAAATCCTCATTAAGATATGCAACCTCCTGATGCCGGTAAAGATGTGTATCCGCAGCCGATGTCCTAGAATGTACAGTTCGGTATTTAGTTATTCAAGAATCTAATTACTGAACACAAATCATTTCAAACTTTTTCTTGATGTAGTTACTGTTATACGAAATAAGATTACAGTTTTGTTAACTTTGAATATTTTAAAGTACGTACTACTTCTTTGGTGTTGCAAGGAGACATTGATTTTGCAGAATAACTCTTGATGATAGTAATTGTATTGCTGAAACCATAGTATTCCAAATTATAACGCAACATCGACAAGTTCGTATATAAATAACAGAAAAATTATGACATTACAATCATAGAGAGAACCCGGAGGAAAAACTAGAATACGTCTTTGGTGAAATGCATGGTACTATTGAACCATTAAACAATATTTTGAAGCAAACTTTTATCTATGCACTTTCCTTGTAGCAATGAATTATTATGAACAACAGTAATAATATAACCACATAAAACAGAGAAATTTGTTTTTATGAATTATTCAGTATTCAATTCAGTATATGAAAGTAAAACGAGATAACCATGAATGGTTAATGCGAGAAATCCAAATTACGAAGGAAGAGTTGCAGAATCTGAAGAAATTTATAGAACAGCTCACATACGCTAATGTATTTNCAAACTATCAACATTTACTTTTACTTTCACAAGGCATAGCGAGCGAATTCAATAATTGTTTTAATGTATATTTGAAGAGTACCGGCACGGTTAGATAATTTCATGGGTTGGTCTTATGCATGCACACTTTTAAGTGGTCAGTCAATATCTAACCGGACTTGGTTTTTTCATTACTTTCGGACAATGCATTTTTAAAAGAAATATATAACAGACGATTTCTAATCGTATGGGTGGTCCATTGTATTGCTCAAGAACATAACTGATACGGAACATTTACCGAACGAGATTATTCAATTATAGGATGTATACCATTTTTTTGATGAACTGAGAAAGCGATTTGTAGCAGAAGTATCTGTGAAGGGAATAGAGTCGTTTAATCAAATCTACAATGGCAAAAATTTCAAATTCATGTCATTAACCGTTATCAAGAAAAAAGACTTTAAAACTTCGCGTTTGTCGAAAGCTAGTGTGACGTCACTAGATATGTGCGATTGTCGGTACATCGTATGATCAACGGCTGAAGTGTTATAAAGAAAATCATTTTATGTTCAAGGTTCAAATGAAGATGTGCTCAGT